TGGAAAAGCCTTTTAGCGCCTTTCAGAACGATGTCGAAGTGCATGAGCATGGTACTACGAAAATCGTAACTAAGGTAAGGGAAAGACTGAGAGGCTGTAATGGATAAGCTGTGTAGAATTGTGCCTGGACTACCCATGGAAAAAGTTTCAGCCATTGAGGAGCAGCGAGCTCGAAAAAATCCACATGCGACTCTCGCAAATTTAGATGCAATCCTAAAAAGCAAAAACTGGGATTTTTGAGCTCAAAATTCTTTAACTCACTGGAGACGCAACGAAACAGCTCGAAATTTTTAGGAAAGATTTAGGAGAATGACGTCGAACTACAGCAAAATCGCCGCGAGCGGGCCTCCGCAGCTGCGAAAAAATCTAGATGCAACCTAGATACGACCCCATTCTTTTCATTTTTGTTCCCATATATAAAAGTTTAAAAAATCCACATGCTATACAATAAAACCAGATTTTGCCCAACTGTAGCAAAGCATCTCCAAAGTACAAATTGTATGGACCAATTTACATGTACTTTGGAGGCCCTCTTGAAAGTCATAACAGAAAAGTTTTAAAAATTATCGATGGTCATCGCTACTAAAGATAAGCGCTTTTGTCGAGAGTGTGAGAGTTCGATACCCGCCTGCGACGCCTTTTTTTGCAGGGAGAAAAATGCTGTTTTTTGAAGAGTAGAGATTGTTTGCGACTGCGACTTATTTCCTACATTTCACACTTTTTTAATTTTCGGATCACTTTCTCTTACGACCCCCCCCCCCTCACCGCCGGTGCCCCTTTTACGACCCCCGTTGCGACAGTCGCATCACACGCTTGACCCTGGTCGGAAGACTCGTAAAAAAATTCGGAACTTCGCCAAAGAAGATGTCAGGAAACCTCTAACTTGTTCATGCATACATCTTTCATTCAACATTTATAAGCCGTCTGCTTTTTTTCTGTCATTTGGGGCTAAAACATTCAAAAGAAAAACAAGCCAAATCACAAAATGGCGTTTTTTGGGTCTTCACGCTAATCTAACATTCCACGAAAATCATACTTCCAAAGGCTTAAACAACCCACCATTGCTCTGAGAAAAGCGCAATAGCTTTTGCTTTTTATCGCAGATGCGTATATGGGTCGTTATTTGTGAACAAGTTGCAGATTTCTGGTAATTTTTGAGTCTTCAAAAGTATAATTTTTGTTGAATGCTAGATTTAGCGTAAAAACCCGAAAAACGCCATTTTCATAGATGTTGAATCTTTTTTCTCTGTGATTCCACTTGATATGGAAAGTACTTTGTGCGAATGTTCGCATACCACTTTGTAACGGTTGCTTTGCTTTATCGAATGTAGCTGAGTCTTATGCAAGGAGCAAGAAAAACGGGAGACATTGGGGACTATGAACTTGATTAACAGTTTCGGACCGCGAAATCGCGCGCGGCGAAAAAGAGTGTACTTTCAGCCGTTAGCCGACAAAGGTACCTTGTTTCATAGGCTTTGGGCTACATCTGTAATCAGCATATCAGATAAGCTCCATACCCAAAGTTCTGAGTAAAATTGAAGTGTCTGAATTTCGCTGCTTGAGAGTGACTTCCGTGCTTTCTTTAACACGTTGACGACGAGCCATTTTTTGAAGGTCTGTCCCTGTGGACGAACCGTTTTCCGGCACTTTCACAGCTGGCTGCATGTATGTATGCATGCATCTATGCGTGAGATACAAAAATGCAGGTGGGCGGGGCGGCTCCGCCCACTTTTGGCAAGCCCCGCCCACTTTTCAAAAATGCTGGAAATTGCCCAGAATCAATGAATTCGTGCAAATTCCGGCATTTTTGAAAAGTGGGCGGGGCTTGCCACTCAGGGGGCGGAGCTTGCCACTTCGGGGGCGGAGCTTGCCTGAAGGTGCGCGGGGCCTGGCTGAAAGTTGTTTTAGGTCTTTGCGTTCATTCACGGCCTCATCCATGCTTTTTATGAACAAAAATGGCTCTTGTGGGAGGCATAGGAGTGGGCGGAGTTTGCCAAAAGGGGCGGAGCTGATGTATGAAGTATATCTGAGCCTATGTTGATTATATGAACAAAAACTGAGAGGATTGGACAGATAGTATTGAAATTAAGGCCGCCGCGCACCATTGCGCGGCACTGTCGTCAACGTGTTAACACGTTTAGGACCGCGAAATCGCGCGCGGCGAAAAAGAGGATACTTCCAGCCGTTAGCCAACAAAGGGACCTTAATTCGCAGATTGTATGCTACATCTGTAATCAGCATGTCAGATAAGATCCATACCCAAAGTTCTGAGTGAACTGGAAGCGTTTGAATTTTGCCGCCTGAGAAGGACTTCTGTGCTTTCCTGAAAGATAGGAACAAGAACTCAGTTTCTAATTGTATCCAACTATCTATGTTGTACACGATACACATCATTATTAGAACTACGGTTTTTCTCTTTGGCTTCGAAGCAAATAGTTGCGACGTCGCACGCGTCGTTCGCGTTGCCGCACTTCGTTGCAACTGTTGTTCGAATTGTCCTCATATCTTCAAACAAATATCGGCGGACAGCTCACAGAGTCTTTTGAAAAGGAGGAGCTTAGGCCTTTGACTTGATAACCTTGGACAAAAAGAAAACTTCCCGCAAACACTAAAAAAATCCTTGAAAGGCGCGTGCTGCACCATGTGCAGTACCGGTCCGAAACGTATTAAAGAATAGGAACAAGAACTCAGTTTCTAATAGCATTCAAAAGTATCTATATTTACACGGTACACATCGCTATTGAAACTAGGGGTTTTGTCTTTGAAATCTAAGCAAAGTTGCGACGTCGCACGCGTCGTTCGCGTTGCCGCACTTCGCTGCAACTGTTGTTCGATTTTTTCTCATATCTCCTAAGCAACTAATGGCGACACAGCTCTATAGAGTCATTTGGAAAGTAGGAGCTTAGGTCTTTGACTTGGTACTCTTGGACTAAAAGACCTCCTGTAAACATTAAAACGATCTTTCAAAGCATCGTGCTGCACCGTGCAGCACCGGTCCGAAAGGTGTTAAATGGATGTCTATTTGTCCTGTCTGTGTGTCTGCATATGAATGTTCTAAATAAAATTCCACTTCTGAACCGATCCGAACTACACTTTTCTACACATGCACTTCGAGGAGTGGAGTTCGTAGGCTACTCGTCATCGATCGGTATCGATTTTATCGACCTTTTGCGAACTTTGAGCTATGTACTTGCCACAGATTATAAATGAGCATGCTGATTACGAATACAGCTTTAGTTTCTAGAGCTGTTGATACCTTTATCGATTTTATCGATCTTTTGAAAAATTTGAGATACCGAGGGGCTGAGAGTTGGCACAGGAACGGACGCCTTTCACAGAGCAGTGCTGGGCTGCTCACATGAGTGATTGAATTACAAGCCTTTATGGGTACATACAAAGATTTTAGCCTTCTGCACCCACTACTATTCAGAAAATTCGCGTTAGTTCTCTTTGATTATTACTATTATGATTTCGATAGTTTTGAAACTGATGCTTTTATAGAGTTGAAATTTATCGCACTTACAGAAGGAGGATTGCAGTAAGGAAGTACCTACATGGAAGCAGTCCGGCATTGCCTTTGCAAAAGCATGAAAATTTTGGATTTTCTGTTCCTTTATGAAAAAGAAATGCGTCGCTGCATACATACATGTTTGTCCAATGCAGGAAGTTTTAAGCGTGAGCGAGTAGGAGATTCGTGGATTTTTGGACAGAGATCCGAAATATTTGACACGCGCATTTAAGACTTTTTGAGTTTTGGCTTCAAGTTTCACTTGGATCGAACTTATTGGACTATTGCACGCCATTATGTAAGCCTTGGTTTCTGACGCGTGGTATCTGCCATCACTTTTGGGGCTTGTTGTAGTGCTCTGAAAAGCAATAAATGACATTTCTTTTACCGAATAGTATTCTCCACGATTGTCAAGTTGGATGATACAAAATGTCAGATCTCCATTTATCAGTCATCTGAACATAACATGAATACGAAAGTATTCTCAAAACAAGAAGCATCAGTAAATCAACGTATACTGCATGTGAACTAATTATAAGAATAATATAGCAGAATGATATTGTAAATGGCTGACAGTTCAGATCGTACTGGTAGGACAAAAGCAACTTGCAAATTCTAGATCTATGTACGAAGCAAAACTGCACATTAGAAAATGTCACCTACACTAGTAAGAACATGAGTGCCTTCATTAGTACCTAAGATACGAACTATTTGGAGCATCGACCTAAATGTGTGAAAAGCTCTGAAGCGTACCAGCATCACCTTACCACGAAAACTTGAAGATACAAAGTTATTTATGGCTAAGGATGAACAATCTTCAAGTTAATATGCATAATGAAGCACAACCAGGACTCAGAAGAACATGGCACTTAACTCTGACTTCGCTAAACTCATTCGCATGTCCATATCTTTTGACATGATTCCACCCCATCGTGCCAAAACTCACTGCGTCTTTTTTTGAGGTTGTTTTAGGGGCATAACTTCGTAACATTTTGCAGCGAATGCCTTTTTTAGCAAAAAGTGTAAGTTTTTGAAACATGCCCGATAACTGCTGAGCACTTGTGATGAAAATACAATCTACCAAATTCCATATTAATAAATCTTTGGCATGACTTGTTCTCTGAAAAAAAGAAAAAACGAATTTTTTAAATTTTTTTTTGAAAAATAGTGCGAGAGTTGATAAAACTGCTCAATCGATATTAGTTGCATGAAAATTGATTGTGAGAAATCTTTCTCGTTAAGACAGTAATATATGACAATATAGATGTCAAGGGTTTGAGTTCACAACGGTGTAAGCTAGGCACGCACTGGTTCGCGTCCGGTTAGCTAATATCGCTTTTGCGCCTTCCTCCGCAAGTAGACTTCACCCCTTTTGCTTAGGACATTATGCACATTTTTGTGACGAAAACAATTTCGGCATGCAGAAGGCGCGAAAAGAAGCTGTAACCTCGGAACCTTGCTACGGATGTTGCAAGGTCCCTTAGAAAGGTTTAGGCAATACAAAAAAGTCAAATTATCTATGTATACCGGCTGATTCAGGATACAAGCCGCCATCAAGAGGATGAAAGACAAATTTATAGAACCGCATACTTCTATCCGGCCGTGTTTTTATGACCTCGATGTTACGGGCATTACCGTTGCGAATGACATGATAATGTAACGGAATTCCATGACTTGGGGAAAAACGATGAAGACAACAGAAAACTGTGAGCTGAGCGCGTCCACTTGTTTCTGACACAAATGACAGTGTCCACTGAAATTGCATCTTTTAGCTATGATCGATGCTGGTTTTTACAGCCTATATGTCGGCTCCACTCTCGGATTCGTAGCACAACTAAGCTAAAGTTCTTCCATGCATTGTTAAAGGTACCTTCAAACCGCGCCAGCAAGCGCGCCTTCCGCCACCTTCGTTGAGGCAACGGAAGGCGACGATACGTGCAAGACGGACCAACATAAAATCAACCCGCCTCACTCCCGCGCAACGCTACTTTATGGCAACAAGTCATGTAGTCCCCAACCGCTTCAACCCTCCCCCCCCCCCCCCGCAAAGTGTTGCCCCTTTTCGTGCGGTACAATCCATTTGAGTCTTGGTTGAAACTGCCTTTATGTCCTCTGCTCGTTTTAAGAAACAGCTTCAGAATGAAATCTCAGAAAATTTGTGCGTTCCAATCTTCATCATTTTTTGCTCTAAATGTAAATTTGCTTTGGTGGTCGCGAAGATCTTGATTGTGATCTGTCTTATTAAGAGCAAGTTCACAAGTTTTAGCTATTAAAAGATATTATCTCATAATAGTTACAGATGCATTTGAAAGTAGATCTTACAGAATACGAACATCACTTGTTTTCAAGCATCAGATAAAATTCCACCTGACACATTGCAAACGAGCTATTCTCTCATTCTTGTGGTGCAAAACATTTCTGTGCATTTCCTGGCGTACCGAGGGGGTGGCCCCTCTTACCCTGAGAATGGATAGCAAAATTGTTAAAAATCACTTACCACTATATAAATGTGCAGATGATTGTTTTCACTTGAAAACAAGTCATAATTCAAAAATTTTGAAAATTCAAATTAGCCTATAAAATTTCTTGTGACGTAGCTACTGCCACGCTCTTTTTTTTTCTAAATTTTGGGGTTGTGGGGCCTCAAAAATTTTGGGAAGTATAAATAATCTGGATCAAAGCGACATGCCCAAGTATAGAGAGATCACAACTCATCAGAGTTGAGCACTGTGGATCTGCAAACGTAGAAACGACCAGCGTTCCTGCGCCTCCTTGAAAACGAAAACGACTTCAGGCGTGGTATAAAGGCACCCTTGACCTGATCGTCAAGGGTACCTTTATACTTTTATCATTACCTCGAGGTTAAGCTTCGTAATCTTTCCAAACTTTTCTAAGCCGCCAATTGTCTCAATATACGCCTCGAAACTGTCACAAGATCCAATAAAGTATGTTCGCAGCTGAAAAAACAAGATTCGCGCAAGATACTGAGAGCTACTAACAAACCCATACTTGTGGCTGGGGCAGGTCAAAATTTTCTGCCAAAGAAGAGGCCAATTCAGCAGAAAGCTGACATTCAATAATCACCACATGGATAGTATCCGAAGCTTTTAGAAGATCGACTAATAAATCTTCTTCACAAGCGAAAACAGCATTAAAGAAGATTATCGTTTGGAGGGTTATGTGTTTTCTTCGTACTTCACTGATTATACGCGCAAGCGTACTGGTATCAACCGAAACCTGTAACAAGGAACTTTATAAGACAAGAAATTCGTCGAACTCATGAGAGTTCGTTGATATGGTACTAATTCCTCTAGCGTAATCAGTTGGAGACAAGGAACTTATCATGTAGAAAAACGCCTGATCGACGTAAGCAAGTGCGCAGGAGTTTAAGAACTCCGGAAGTTTGTTGAGTTCAGGCACCACAAAACGTTTCGGATAACGATCAAATGAAACGTGCTGAAAAATATGGGGCTGCATTTTCCGCTAATTTTTTAGACTATTTTAACGATAATTAGCATATATAAATGACGTACTTGCCCGACGATCAATCTTTTCGCACGTATTCCTAGAGTGCACCTATTCGTTTCAATCAAATCATTGACTGCGCGGCAGACAAGGCGAAGGCGACCATAGTTGGATTCTTCTGTATTCTGAAAAAATCAGTTGTCATGGGGAGAGGGGTGGGGTAGTGACGCAAGGTTTAGTAACAGAAATACTTATCAATAGCAAAAATGAGAACAACTACTTTTTCAACTCGAGCAGGGATGTTTTGTCACAAAATTCTACAGATATGAATTTGTGTCTCTTATACGTCTCTCTATCTTCATTACCTTTTGATTCCACGCCTGTGAGCTCCTGCCCTGACGTGCTAAATCCTCTATAGACTCGCAGACAATAACGCCACTAAACTGTTCTAAAATTACTTCACTGTGAAACACTGGGAGCAACTGATGGCAGCAAAACAGCAAAGTCAGTAATAGGAATCGGTCAGACTCTGCCAGTGTTGCCGGTGTTGGAAGAGTTGTTGGTGTCAGATATGTTGAAAGTGTTGCCGTTCTTGAAAGGGTTGAATGCGTTGCCGTTGTTCATAGTATTGAAAAGGGAGACGGTCTTTTCGCACAGCCTCCAATGCCGCCCTGATTTTGACGTGTCACACGTCCGCACCCCGCAAATTTTTCCTCCCCCTGCTTTGCCTAGGCAAAAGCCAGGTTGTTTCGTGTCGATCGACTGGAAAGCGTTACGGTTCATGCAAATCGTCCTACTCCCAGTGTTGAATGTGGAAATCCTTAGTTTTGCAGTCCCACTCTTTCTCAGAGCTCACAAGCCTGTGGCATGTTGGGAATGGAAACGGGAACGGAAATTTTTGTAAACGACTTCGCAATGGAAAGATCCTTATAATATCTGCTGCATGACGAAGGCGGTTGCCCAAATAGATTGAAGGCTGTCGCGCACCCGGCGCGCGGGCAATTGTCAACCACCGGGCGCGCGCACGCTCGGTCAGCGGTCATCCACTGGAGCTGCGCGCGCGCTGACCGAGCGTACGCGCGCCCGGTGGTTGACAATTGCCCGCGCGCCGCGTGCGCAACAGCCTTCAACCTATTTGGGCAATCGCCTTCGTCATGCAGCAGATATTACAAAAGGTTTTGAAGGTAGCGATGTGTTTGACATAGGCAATCTCCAATATTAGGGAGCACTGCTAAAGTCAGTCTAGTAAGTAACCGTGTTTGATGTCAAAACGGGTGCTTCTGTGATGAAACACTAATGTTTCACATTTAACACTTTCAACACCGGCAACCTATGGCGATACAAACAGCATTCAAACAGAAACGGAGAAGGCAAATCACTTTTGAGCGATTCTCAAGAACTGACATCGCCGGCTCTATTGCTGTAGGCACTGTTGTTGGGGCAAAACGCGGCTCTCTCTCTCTCTCTCCGATTTCTCTCCTGCTTCTTTCGTCAATTTGTTTTTACCTATGCATGGTTTTCCACGTACCTTTGCACCTTGCCTTGTGGTATAGTGCTACTATTCTCTAGTTGGTTCCAATAAATGCACTTGATAAATAACTATGTTATGGGTCATATAGTGAGGTCCGGAAAAGGTCAGAGATTCAGTAGGGGAAACAGAGCTCGCGAACCCCGAACTTTACGATGCTTTGAAGCAAGTCTGTGAAGAAAATGAATACTTAAACTTGAGAAGATTATTAATTTTCTTATCCGTGCCTATCGTACACAACTTCACTTCGAATAAATTATCTCCTTCTCACATTCTCTGCAAAGCCTTTTCGCAAATTGTTCGAATATTGTCACATCTTTATCTTCTATATTTCCAAATGCTACAATCTGCGATGAAATTTTGACTCCTTTTCACAACACTTGAATTTCAGCACCCTCAAAGGAAGTCGTACCCTCTAACTACACCCAACGTAACCCAAGATGGCACTGATTTGCGAAATCATTATGGTAGACATGTACAGCGTGGTGCCTCTAGAACAAACGACAGCCAAATATAGAAATTTGACACTTAGTACGCCTACCGTTACCATACAGGAAGGCATTTTTGTGTGAAAAAAAGTGTGTTATTGTGATCAGCATGTCGCAAAAGATCTGAGATTATGACCTCACACCGTACGACTACCGTTACTACCCACAAAAGGCCCTACCATGCTATGTGTCTTATTTTTTCGTGATCAGCAGGTCGAATACTCCCCCACTTCCCCCCAAGCAAATTTAGCGGGCGCTATTCCACTTAAAGGCAGTGTCCGGGCAGAAACTCGACTTCTAAAAAATCAACTTATCTGGGGTTATCCGCAACGCTGAATCCGAAAATCCACATCAAAAGGCGCGAAAACGGCGAGAACATGCATTTTCCAAGTCCTCACATTTCGAAATTTGGGGATCCCCGCCAGGCTAAGACGCAGAGGTTGCAAAGAGCGCACGGTTTTTAACTGTGGCGGCATATGTACTCTGCCGTCTGGCAGGAATTCAAACAACTCGGAGGACCCCGCCCCAAGGCGTAAGTTTCTCCAGTTTGCAATCGTTTTTCTTGCTTTAGGTCGAACGTTTTATGCTCGCAGTTGCGCGATGTTGTGTCTCAGGGGGGGGGCTACTTTCACATGGCAGAGAAATCTCAGAACCCCCATTTTGCCCGGACACTGCCTTTGATACAACCCAAAAACTGGAAGTCGTGGATTTCGTTGGAATTTCGTCTATGGGGGTTATTCGACATGCTGTTCACGGAAATAATATTCATTTTGCGTGGTGAGGCCTTTTTTGAGCGATTACGGTATGCATACGGTATGGGTCAAAATCCTCAGAACCCGCTAAAACTTTGCTTAGGGGGGGGGGGGTATTCGACATGCTGATCGCGAATATCGCACTTTTTCCTATGGGTCAAAATCCTCAGAACCCGCTAAAACTTTGCTTAGGGGGGGGGGCATTCGACATGCTGATCGCGAATATCGCACTTTTTCCGCACAAAAATGTCTCCCTGTATGGCTACGGTAAGTACATGGTAAGGGGGCAAAATTGTAGATCTGCCTGAAATTTTGTGCAAGGGTGTTAGCCGGCGTGCTGATCACAAATATCGCGCTCATGTCGGTATAAAGCCTTCTCGCAGATTTTTGGGGTCTTAATTGGACTGAAAAGCGGGAAAGGTGCGTACCTACACGCTACAAATTACCATAACACCACAATATAGCGTTGTTACAGCGTGCAAGTCTGATATTCGTAATAAGCATGCTTGAAAAGCACTCTAAGCAACGTTTTGAGCAAATTCCGAATTTTCACCTAACTACCGTACATCCACCCTAACCCGAGGAAATGGCGCTACCGTACAAAATCAATATGAATGATATCCATATTCAGGGTGCTAAATAACCCCTCCAGACCAGATGCCAGGCGAACCTAGATATTTACACCTACCGTACACCTACCGTAACTCACAGAAAGGGACATTTTTGTGCGGAAAAAGCGTGATATTTGTGATCGGCATGTCGAATAACCCTGCTACGCAAAGTTTTAGAGAATTTTGAGATTATGACCCCATACCGTACGACTACCGTAACCATCCGCAAAAGGCCCTGCCATGCAAAATGTGTATCTTATTTTTTCGTGCTCAGCAGGTCGCATAATCCCTAGGCGAGTTTTCAGCAAAATCCGTGGTGCTCAATTTTTGGGTTGTTTTAGGTGGTATAGTACCGGTGTTGAAATTCCTGTCAATGAGTAAGTGGAATAAAGCGGAAGTGATGTACTGATTCTTAGTAGTCGCGAGTAACAACTTCGTTGTTGTAACTCAAACTTGAACGAACTCATCCATTGGCTAAAAAGCAGTTATGACTTCCTTGACAGAACTAGCCGATATATATATGGCCTTCAGGAGCCCCTGGACCGCGCCCATTACCGCTATTCCAGCCGTTAGCAATTTTCGCGCCGGTTGCCGCTTTTGCAGCCGAAGCGCAGTGGGCCAAGTCATTGTCTCTCTGGCGCGCGTGTGGCGCGAAAACTCATTAACCAAACTATACATTTTTGTGTGCTTTTTTCTTATTTTTCTTAATTTTTCTGTTATAGGTTGATTTCGAGGTACAAGTTTCTCAATAATCAGAGTTGAGCAAATGGTCAGGCACAAGTCGTTCAGAAACGACCCCCCCCCCTTCCAGGAGAGCTAAAACGACCCCCTCTTAATCCTCTCCACCTCCGGAACCTGCGAGTGTGACACTCTAGAGAAGCCGAGTCTGTCCTGCAGAGTTTTTGAATTTTAAGAGCTGTATGATCGTTTTTCTGTGATTGCACATTGCAAGTGCACGCAATTTGACGGCTTATTTTGATGTGAATTGCCTTATTGAACGAGCCAGAATTTCTACAGGGGTGAAGTGTTTTGCTCCAAATTTCTACTGAGGCAAGAAGAGGCGATGAGCTCAATATTCATATTCATACCAGGAAATGGACTGATATCTGAATTTTGAAGACAAGTTAACTGGGTCAGGTGCAAGGCTACAAAAGTTCAGGAGGCCTGACCTTTTGAGGGGTTGCGCCCGACCCCATTAACTTTATCTCCGAAGATGCTTTTTCATCCAAATTTCATACCCCATTAACTTTATCTCCGAAGATGCTTTTTCATCCAAATTTCATATAATTCGCTAGCACAAACCTCGATCATTCTGCAGTAGGTGTTTGAGCTTAGCTCGACTTGTTTCGGCTTTGTGGTAGTCCGCGGAGTTGACGCGCTCAAGGTGAAA